CTAGGCACCTCCACATCTTAGAAGCAGTGAAGCCATGGCACAATCTAGAGATACAAGAAGGTTTTAAGCAGGTCATAGTCTCATGCCAACAAGTCAAGCAATAGGAATTGAGCTGATCTGTTATTTAAGAGGATGCTGGAAGTCAAAGATGTATGCCAAAGAGATTACTTCCATCTACACTAAAAAAAAAAAAAAAGTCTAGCCAGGCACCAGTGGCTCACGCCTGTAATCCTAGCTACTCAGGAGGCTGAGATCTGAGGATCTGCCAGACCAGGCAGGAAAAGTCCCTGAGACTCTTATCTCCAATAAACCACTCAGAAAACCAGAGGTGGCACTGTGGCTCAAGTGGTAGAGTGCTTGCCTTGAGCAGAAGAGCTAAGGGACAGTGCCCAGGCCCTATACTATGAAGGAAGTCCCTTCATAGTATATCCCTGATGGAGCATTTCTCTAGAGCCAGTAGGCCTTTTTTCCCTCCATCCACAGAGCTCTTGTCTGGAGAGCAAATTCTTATTCACAAAGTTGCACCTATATTCTTCTCATCCCATTTTCCTCAACCTTTTCTATAAGCCTTCTTTTGAGACATCTTAGTGCTGGATTTCATTCAGGTTTTTTGAGTTAGGTATTAGAAATAACCTCGTTCTTTTGATTCCCCTTTGACTTGGACTTTTTTTTTTTTTTTTTTGACAGTCATGGGGCTTGAGCTCTGGGCCTAGCTCAAGACTAGTGCTCTACCACTTAAACCACAGCGCCACTTCTGGCTTTTTCTGCTTACGTGGTGCTGAGAAATTGAACCCAGGGCTTCATACATTCAAGCACTCTACCACTGAGCCACCTTCCCAGCCCCAAACTTCATTGTCTTTAAGCAGTTGCACAAAGAAGTTTCAATTCAGCATGCCAATTTATGAGTACAATGCATCTTGATCAATGTCACCCTCTACATCATTCTCCCCCATCTCTCTCAATTCCACCCATCTCAAATTACCTGGTTCCATTTTCACTTATATACACTGCATATTATGATAGCATTTTCCCACTCTTCCTCTCTCCATCCATCTGTTCTCCTTTCCTTGCTCCCTCCCTCCAACAACATACATTACAGCTTCTGATACTCATTTTATTAAAACTGTAAGTTAGTTGTTTAAACGAATCATACCATTACAATCCTCCCCTAAGTGTGCCATAATACCTTAATGTTATATGACTGACATGTTTAGTTAACAAGTTATACGTTGTGTATGTATAAGCATATGACCCATGGGCTGGGAAGGTGACTCAGTAGTAGAGTGCTTGCCTTGCATGCATGAGGCCCTGGGTTCGATTCCTCAGCACCACATTAGCAAAAAGAAAAAAAGCCGGAAGTGGTGCTGTGGCTCAAATGGTAGAGCGCTAGACTTGAGCTGAAGAGCTGAGGGACAGCACCCTGGCCCAGAATTCAGGCCCACAACTGGACCCCTCCCCCCCCCAAAAAAAGCATATGACCCTGTATATGTTTTCATGTGGTTATAATTTAGAGATCATTTCCACATAAGAGAAAACGTGTCCTTTTGTCTCTCTGAGCCTCACATACTTAACGTATTTTTTTCCAAGTCCATCCATTTCCCTCTCAAGAATTTTTGCTCCAAACTAGCTTCGAATTGTGATGCTGTGTAACTAGAATTATAGGCATGAGCCACCATGACTGGCTGGTGTTTTAGTTTCTAAATGCTCATTCTTTTCAACAAAGGTAATTGAACTAGACCTCTACCCCAAAGCTGCTGGACTTAGCCAGAAAAGTGTCCTGGAGCTCCTACCTTTACCCTGCACCAAACAAACTGGTTTAATTTGATGACAGAGAATGATGACCATCTCTGCTTGTCTCCTTTACCCTTTCTCTGTGGCCCTTCTAAGAGAAAGAGGAAACCATGCAGATGTTCTTCAATGATGGGGGGTGATCCAGGCATTCTTGCACAACAATCCCCAGATCTGGGTTCAGGGCCTTAGCTGGAGAAGAAATAATCCACTCTGGCTAGCTTATATATAAGTGCAATTTTCAGGACAGAGATGGCTTACAGCATTACTGTAAAATCTTGAGGGAAGAGTCTAGGCTGAGAGTCCAATAACATCCCCCAGATTTGCACAGCTAAGGAGCTTGAGACTCGGCAACCTCAGGGAACTGCTATATCCCAAATCTACCACCTTGGTTTCTGCCACCCACTTTCAAACCAACTGTCTCCATGCTATGTCTCCTCCCTCATGACTCACTTGCCAAAAAGAATTCTGATGTGGCACCACAGTCACTTGATGAAACCCACTTCACATAACTGTTGCCAAGTAACGAGAAAGGCTAGAAAACACAAGGAAGATAACCTAGAAGAAAAAAAAACCTTCTGGATCTATACACCTGACCAAAATTGGACCAGAAAAAAAGGAACATCTGAGCAGACCAATAATGAGTAATAAGATTTGAGTCAGCAGTAAGCAAGTCATCAAAGAGAAGTCCAGGATCAGATGACCTCACTGCTACGTTCTACCAAACAAGAAATCAGACCAATAATTCTTAAAATTAATCTAAAAGATGGAAATGGAGGGAATTCTTCTGAATTCATCCTTAGGTCACTCTAATACCAAAACTAGACAAAGAAATGACACAACAAAACAAGAAAGTCATACGCCAATATCAATGATGAATAACAGGTACAAAAAAATCTTCAGCAAAATATTAGCAAACTGAATGTAACGGCACAATAGCAGAATTATTCACTGGGATGAAGTTGGATTCCTCCAGGATATAAGAATACTTCAGTGTTCACAAAATCAATCAATAAATGCAACACAACTCATTGACAGCATGCAGGAGGAAAACCATACGATCATCTGAAGAGATAGGGAGAAAGCATTTGATAAAATTCAACATCTCTGCAAGATAAAAACTCTGAAGAACTTAGGTATAGAAGAAACATACCTCAGCATAATAAAAGTCAATATTTAATAAGACAGCAACTAACAATACTGAATGGAGAAAAATAACTAAAAGCTTTTCACAGTAGCCAAGAAATGAGGGAAAAAATGTCCTTCAATTAAGGACAATTGAGTGGATCAAGAAAACATGGTACATTCAGTGTTTGGCCATAAAAATGAAATCCTGTCATTCATGACACACGGATGGAACTGGAAAAATTATATTAAGTGAAATAAGATAGGCAGAGAAAGAAAAGTGCCACAAAATCTCATTCATGTGTAGATGATAAAACAGTTGATCTCACTGAGCACCAGTGGCTCATGCCAGTAATCCTTGCTACTCAGGAGGCTGAGTTGGAGGAAGGTGCTTCAAAGCCACATATCTCATGGACAGGAAAGTCCATGAGACTCTTACCTCCAAATTAACCACCAAAAAGCTGGAAGAAGAGCTGTGGCTCAAGTGTTAACCTTAAGCAAAAAATATCTTCAGGGCCAGAACGCAGGTCCTGAGTTCAAGTCCCAGGATTGTCAGGCGCACACACATGCACACGCACGTGTGTGCACGCGCGCACACACACACACACACACACACAGAGTTGATCTCATAGAAGTTCAGAGCAGATTGTGGTTAGGAAAGTAGAGGGGAGGGGGGAAGGGAGAGAAGGGTTGGGGTTGAACAATGAGTGCTGAGTTTCAGTAAGGAAAGAACAACTTCTACTATACTGTCTCACAGTAGGGTGACTACAGATAAAAACTATGTTCTATATTTCAAAAAGCTAGATGGAAGGGATTTGAGTGTTTTTCATCATAAATGATAAGTAACTGAGCTAGTTATGTATAACCCAATTTGGGCACTGGTAGCTCATGTCCCAAATCTGAGCTATTCAGGAGGCTAAGATCTAAAGAGCATAATTTATCTCTAATTAATCAGCAAAAAGTCTTTAATAGAGGTGTAGCTCAAGAGGTAGAGCATCAGCCTTGAGTAAAAATGCCAAAGAAGAGGGCATGATCCTGAGTTTAAGTTCTAGTGCTAACACAGAATTAATAATGAATATAACATTTTAAACATGGAGTTTCATTGCATTTTTGTTTGGGGTTTTTTGTTTTTTAGTACATGGTATTGGGGGTTCAACCAATGTTTTCAAGCATGCTAGGCAATCTCTCGGCCACCAAGCTACAGCACCAGCCTTACAGAGGAGTACTTGTGTTGATGATGGTTGTAGATTCTGCACTAGGAAGGACATGATTCTATAGGAAACTGCTGAATGTGAGGAGAGCTATGAAGATGTTTAGAACAGCCAGGAATGACAAGCTATCTACTACCCTGTGGATCTACAGTGGGTTACAAAAGTTTTTCAAGACCCTAAATCCTACAAGCAGGAAATTTAATGAGAAATGACACATCTCTGAATATATACAAGTTACAAATGACCAGCAAACGAAAAACGAACAAAAAAAAACACTAATCTATCTGAAATACTCATATTAACAACGGGCTATCAACAATCTGATTTCTCCTGAACTAAAACTTTATCCTCTTCACTTTCTGCAGCTCATGAAACATCCCTGAAACTATGCCCACAAACATGGGCATGACTACCCACAGTACCTTCTCACTAGCCACTCTGCTGCCTGGCCTGTGCATTCATGCATGCACAGCCAGGCACACAAGTAACTATCCACTGTAACCCCCATGGGTTACAGGTTCATTTTCTCACTGGCAATCAAAGCCATTCCAACAGCAATCCAGCTTTTGTCTGCTCAGGTCTTGGGGCCCTTTTGTGTTCTCCTTTAGTCATACAACTTAGTACCTGACTAGTTTTGCAAGTGACTGAGAGGAAACAGAAAGAGGTGGGGTTACCTGATTGAGGAGACTCCTAAGTGACAGAGCTGAAGGAGTCTGGCTCCTTGTACTTTCATCCCTATTTACCACATACTCACTCTGGCTGCAAAAACTCATTTGCAATGCTGAGATTTGTCAGGAACAGAACTCAGTGAAATAAATGTTGATCCACATTCCCCAATCCCACTCCAGAAAAAAAATCCTAACAATAAATGCTTACTTGTTTACAAGTGGAAGGCTAAGGGTCCAGCCAGCAGCAAAGTCTGGATATTTAAAAACTGTAGGATTTTCAGAAAAGGCATAATGGTGAATTATTGTAGATTCTTCATCATATAATGCTTTCCCTAAAAACCATTCCTGTTGGACAAAAATAAAAAATACCATTAAAAATCTACTTCATATAAGATCAAAAACAAAGTTACATCATGAGTTAATTAAATATCTTTGAATGATAATTAGCACAGACTGTATATTTCTACAAAGTTTGAACAAAAAATATAATACTGTTATGAAAATGAATGTATTAATTTTCATATGGAAGAAACTCAGGATCAGACCACCAGGATGAACAAAATATAAGTCATTGTCTACCATAATGTATAAGACTGGTATTTTATAGAATATTCCATATGAAAATGTTCCACTTCCATTAGGAAGCAGAAGTGTGGCTCAGCTAGTAGAGCATCAGCCTTGAGCAAAGAAGCCAAACAAGAGTGTGAGGCCCTGAGTTCATGACCTAGTACTAGCACCTAAACAAAAAAGAGAAGAAAGAAGAAGGAAGGAGGAAGGGGGAAGGAGGAAGGGGGAAGGGGGAAGGGGGAAGGAGAAAAAGGAGAAGGAGAAGGAAAAGGAGAAAAGGAGGAGAAGGAGGAGGAGAGGAGGAGGAGAAGGAGAAGGAGAAGGAAAGGAGGAGGAAGAGGAGGAGGAGGAGGAGGAGGAAGAGGAGGAAGGGGAGGAGGAGGAGGAGGAGGAGGAGGAGGAGGAGGAGGAAGAAGAGGAGGAAGGGGAGGAGGAGGAGGAGGAGGAAGAAGAAGAAAGTAACAGCAAAGAGTCAACTGAGCCAAAAATCTGGAGAAGTAGGAATAGTTAATGCAAAGTCTCTGAGGTGGGATAATGCTCCATACATTCACAAAGGAAGTATAGAAAAGACAGCACATACACTATGAAAAAGACAGGGTGGAGGCAGACCAGGGCAGCCTTTCTGTGCTAGAGGACAAGAATACAGACTTTATTCTAAGTCTTTATTAGTCTTCTGCTTCTGGCCACACCAGAATAGCCTGGATCAGACCTACACAAGAAATCCAGATGCAAATGCTGAATAGATATATAGAGCAAATGATCAAAGACATCAGAAAACTACAAAAGCAGATAGGACACACATACTGGAAAACTCAGTTCCAGAAAAACCTCAAGGGCACAGATATGGACTATTTTATTCACTTTAGTTGTCCCAGTAGGTTTAACATGTAATGGATACACCACAGATTTCTTCTTGCTCAAAGTGGTGCTCTATCACTTGATTCAAACCTCCAGCCATTGATAAATTTTTTGTTAAGTAAGTAAAGCAAGTCCCTAAAACTAAAGGAACTAAAACATTACATTTAAATTAAGTACTCTGAGCCAGGTGCCAGTATTCATGCCTATAATCCTAACTTCTTAGTAGACTGAGATTTGAGGACTGCAATTCAAAGGCATCCTGGATAAGAAAGTCCATTAGAGTCCAATTAGCCAGCTGTGGTTCATATGGTAAGAGTGCCAGCTTTGAGCCCAAAAACTAAAGACAACATTCATGCCCTGAGTGTAAGCCCCAGTACATACACATCTATACACACACACTCACAATACACACATCACAACATAATCAAGTACCTAAGTTCTAAAGGTTTTCTATACTTTCTTTCTTATACAAACAATGCCACCTTACTTTCTTCTTCAGGATATAAAATCAGGAAAGGCACAGTACTAAGTCAACCTAAGCCTTTTTTAAGATCCTTACTGGACAAGTGATTGTATCTCAAATTCCTCCTAGAGTCCTACTTTTGGTCAATCCAGCAACAGGGTAATGGACAGCGTGACAGCTATCGACATAACTTTATGTGCAGATTCAAAGTGTTATTCTTGATACTCTGCCTAGAAACAGCCAATACCAGAGAGAAGAATGTCCAGTAGTGATCAAAGCAAAGGACCTCAGCTTAAGATGGAAATTTCTATTGCTTTTTAAAAAAATCAATCTTACAGCACTTTATCAAATTAGTAAACCTCCACCATCATAAAAGCACTCAATTTGCCATACCAATGGGAGGGCACCTGCCTAACCAAATAGTTTATAGAAAGAGATCTTCTTACTAATATTTCACTGTTAAAACTTCTTGTTCCAAACATAATGTTATGTAAAACTTGTTCTATTTTATCTCCTAATTGCAGTGTTCAGCTACTGGAGTACCTGAAATTTTTTCAGTATTTTTGTGGAGGATTATAAACTGCTGTAAGAAAAAAATTAACATAGAATCTATGGAAAGAGCCATTCAACCCCAATACTGTAAAAGAAAAATAAACCCTGGGTACAGCATTGTGTGCATAATCCCAGTTACACAGGAGACACTGGTAGGAGGATCAGAGTCAAAAGCCTGTCCCAGGTCTCATCCCCTATCTGAAAAATAACTAAAGTAAAAAAAAGGGGGGCTAAGGGTGTGACTCATGTGACAATATACTTGTCTAGCAAGCAAGAAACTGAGTTCAAAACCCACTATTACAAACAAAAAAGAAAATCTGTCAACCACTTTTCCAAATATAAACGTTTTAACAGCATACTGTAGAGCTGGACATGTGGCTCATGCCTGTAATACTAGATATCAAGAGGCTGAGACTTGGAGGATAGTAGTTCAGACCTGCCAAAAATAAAGAGCCTCAAACTCTGCCTCCAAAACAATCAGCAAAAAAAGCAAAATTGGCTGAGAGCACAAGGCACTGAGTTAAAACCCTGGAACCAAAAATAAAAACTAAAAAACAAACAAAAAACATAAAACTGTGAAACAAAAAAGGAAGACTTAAATTTCTTAGATTTAATATCTGTTTCTTTAATAAAGATGAAATTCATACATTTAAAATATTTAACTACTTAAATTTAACCTTAAGGAAAAATATCAAAGTCAAACAATATGCTGGATGCTCCAGTACATTATACAATTATTGTTTTAATGTGGCTTATTTGTGTCAATACCAAAGCCAGGTTCACTTTATGCATTTTTCCTAAAATTTCGAATGGTACAGGGACAAAATATACAGTGGTCTGAGCTCACTTCAACATTATGGAATTGTTACTCCTTACTACTAGTTTCAAAAGACATGAAGCACCCTCTTCCCCATGGGAAAATTCAGAAAAGTGGGGAAATGTCTCACTTTACCTCTGTTCTGAACTTGCTTTTCATGAACTTACTTTGAACCATTACATTTATCATTCCAATTCTCATTAAAAAGCACAGTGAGTCACCATTCCCTGCACAGAAGTAGAGCCAGGGATAATAGAAGAATAATCTCCAGGTGAAAGGAACACTAGAGGAAGGTTGAAACTCCTACATCCTACGAAATATCTGGGAGTTTTTCTCAAGTCAAAAGCAAACATAAAAGCCTAACAAATGGTTTACATAAAATATAGCAATGAAGTACACAGATACTGGTTGACATCCTCTCAAAAGACAGGATGAGACAGACTCATAATTCTCTTCTTTGAAGACATTATTTTTCTTCACCTAATGACCTTCTCATCCAATTATAACTTCAGCTTCTCAGAAATCAAAAGCACAAAGAGAAATCATAATGGATCCTTCCAGCATTTCAAGATTATCAAAACCAGTGGTTTTTATTATAGTAACAGAATAGCCCATATTGAAGAAACCAATCTTACAACCACTGCTGTCCAACTTTTTCAGCTACATCAACAAATCAAGCAGGTGCCTGGAGCTTGCATTGCCTTCCCCAGACCCTGCATGTCTGGAATGGGTGTCTGGATGGGGCAGGTTTCTAGTGGTATCAGAGAGGGCCTAGTTCTGCTTATCTCAATTTGATCTCATAAGTGATTAGGAATCATATAAGTAATCAGAAATGTACTAATGATCAGCTTATAGCCTTGGCTTCTTTTTTTTTTTTTTTTGGGTCCGGTCCTGGGGCCTGAACTCTGGGCCTGGGCTCTGTCCCTCAGCTCTTCAGCTCAAGGCTAGCGCTCTACCACTTGAGCCACAGTGCCACTTCCGGCTTTTTTCTTTTTGCTTATGTGGTGCTGAGGAATCGAACCCAGGGCCTCAGGCATGCAAGGCAAGCGCTCTACCACTGAGCCACCTTCCCAGCCCAGCCTTGGCTTCTTTAAGAGACTGAAATGGTCTGATTTCCTTTTGACTTAAATCTCCTATGCAGCCCTCTGCACCTACTAAGCCTTTGAATACAGCCTAACCAAAAAGCTGACATTTTAGGCTTTTCAGTCATTCAGGTGTTCATTGACCATCCCCTAAGCATTACACTTTCTGCTCAAGGATAGAGATACAGAAACCAACAATGCTCTGGTTACTGAAAGCAATGGTGAATTTCACAAAGTCCCTCTAGAGCAAAACTTCTCCCTTCTCCCTTCCAATCCTATTCACAGTGTTCCCTCTACCTTCTAACCTCTTCCCCTCCTTCTAGGCTAACTACTGCTCTCTAGTAGGACTTAGATTAAGTTCCATCACCTCTGCTTCCCAAAATAAATTCCATAGACCTGTTACAGGCACCTAAGAGCAATTCATTCCTTTTATAGAAGAAGTCATGGTGATAACTATAATTGATTCACTTTAGTCTGCTGTATCCCACTCTTCAATGCCAGTCACATGGTCAGGATCCCTGACTTTCATTTTAGTCTCTGCCATCTACAATGTCCAACAAGCCATCAGTACTCAAAAAAAATTTCTATACAAAATAATATGGGTACTTACTGATGATCAAAAATAACCTTAATCTATGTTTATTTCTAGAGCAAATCATTTCTGAACTATAGGAATAGTTTGTTAGCTCTCTGAACTCCCTAACACATATAAGCACAGTTTTTTCCTTAAAATGGCTTATTATATGGCACACTCTCTGGAAGCTATAAACCTCACAGAGAATTTTATACAACGGAGCTTCCAGATAACCAACTATTATTTCAATCAATTTGTGTGTGTGTGTGCCCGCGTGCGCGCACACACGTGCACACGCACGCACATGCGCGATACTCCTAGGGCTTGAATTCAGGGCCTGGTCAACGTCCTTTAGCTTTTTTGCTCAGGTTCCCATTCTACCACTTGAACCAAAACTCCACCTCAGCCTTATTTTGTGGTTAAATGGAGATAAGAATCTCATGGACTTTCCTAGCTGAGCTGGCTTCAAGCTGTTGTCTTCAGATCTCACCTAGCCATTCATTTTAATTTTAAATTAAGTGCTCTTATTAGACTCAACCACCTCTTAATCAAAATTAATTTTTTTCAAGTTCTGTCTCCGAAGTATAAATATTGGTGTTGAAGGTGTACTCACCTTAGAAGAGTCATATTTCCTGAGTATTTCTAAGAGCTTTGGAATTTTGATCTTTGTCTCTTCTTCACAGAAGAAAATCCATGATGAATTTCTGGTATATGCTACAGAAAAACTGAAAAACAGAAGTTACAGTCATCATCTGTATAAAACCAGCTTATAATAAGATTTAACACTGATACATAAGAAACAGAAATGCGAATGCAAGGACATGACAGCCAGATTGTTCTCCCTCTCTAGTTTTCTTCAGTGTATTGCAATTCAACTTATAGGAAAGCTAGATATTAGTGGTCCACTAATCAGAACTCTTTACATAATTCCTTCCATAACACCACCTATTTAGAAGTCATAATTTCAAATATCAACTTGAAGCTTTTCAACTTTTAAGAAAGAAACACAGCCAGGTGCTAGTGACTCACTCTTATAATACCAGATGCTCAGGAGCCTAAAATCTGAGATTGTGGTTCAAAGCCAGCCCAGGCAGAAAAAGTTTGTGAGACTCTTATCTCCAGTGAATCACCAGAAAACCAGAAGTAGTGCTGTCGCTCAAATGGTTAGAGTAATAGCCTTGAGCAGAAAAAGCTCAGGGACAGCGCCCAAGCCCTAAGTTAAGCCCTATGACTGACAAGAAACAAAAAAGAATGAATGAAACACAAATGAAAATAAATCTAATACATGATTAAGGACCAATCTCAAAACAATCTGGTTAATGTAATAATAAAAAAAAGTGAAATTGCTTTCTAACTGAGGAAAAATACACCATATTAATAAGAAAATTAGGGAGCACAAAAGTGTTGAGGAGGATTATGTGAATTTTATACACATTTTGAGTAAAATGCACGCACTGTGGTAACAATGGAAGGATGGTCCAAGCACCTTCTTGCTTTGTCAGCTGGTGGATAAGGACTACTCTGGGGAGTTCCTGAAAATACAAGATCAAAGAGATAATGAGAATACACCTGGCCTCTCCAAAAACAAAATGATTAAAAAGGCACACATAAAATATAATAAAATAAAAACCCCAACTACATGTAGAGACTTGACATATCTACATACCATTTTCCCCCTCTACCTCTGCCTCTCTCTGTCTTTCTCTCTCGTCTGCTTCAGAAGCTACTGCAAGTGAAGTATCTCCGCTAAATCCATACAGCCTTTCTCCAAAAATCCAAGCTAGCCCCTATAAACCCAAGACCTACAACAAGGGTCTTCAGTAATACTAGGCGCTAACAGGAAAAGTCACAGATTTTTTTTTTAATAACTGGAAGGGAAGAGCCCAGAGGAAGTTTGGCAAGAACTTATAAGCTCAAAACTAGGTACAATCTATATATAATGTATATAAAAACATGTTAAATGAAACATTTTGACTAATCAAGAAGACAGACTATCTAATCTATCTCATGCAAAAAAAAAAACACTTGTTGAAAGTTCTCTAAAAATATATGGTGCATACCTTTATAATCACAGTACTAGGGAAGTAAGGCGGAGGCAGGAAGATCATAAATAAGAGACCATCCTGAGATACACATTGTATCTCTGTCCCTGTCACACACACACAAAAAAAAGAAAACAAAATATCTGAGTATGTTTGTGTGTGTGTGTGTGTGTGTGTGTGTGTGTGTGTGTGTGTGTGTGTGTGTTAGTAAAAGAGCTTGAACTCAGACCTTGGACATTGTCTCATAGCTTTTCTTTCAAGGCTAGTGCTCTACTATTTGAACCATTCCTCCACTACTAGCTTTTGGTGGTTAATTGGAGTTAATATCCTCATGAAGCTGGGAACTGGTGGTCATGCCTATAATCCTAGCTGAGGCTGAGATCTGAGCATCACAATTCGAAGCTAGCCCAGGCAAGAAAGTCTGTGAGATTCTTATCTCCAATTAACCACCAGAAAACTGGAAGTAGTGCTGTGGCTCAAAGTGATAGAGCACTAGCCTTAAGTGAGAAAGCTTAGGGACAGCACCTGAATTCAAACCCCAGGATCAACAGCAACAACAACAACAAAAAGTCCCATGGACTTTCCTGCCTGGGCTGGCTTCTACTGTGATCCTTAGGTCTCAACACCTTGAATAACTACAATTATAGTAGTAGGCTACCAGTGCTGTGCTCTACGAACATCTTTAGATGTGTTTTACCATTGAAACAACATACAAAGTCCAAATATTAGAAATACGATCCTTAATGACTCAGGCAGTAAAAGAAGTAACAATGAAATTTAAGCTATGTATAAATACAGTACAATTATTGCTACACAGATATACACAGAGAGATTAATGTTTTGAAATTAAGAGTGTTCGCTCTGAAGTAAAGCACTTCTTACTACATTTCAACTGACTGAAAAGCCAAAACTCAGAATTTCAAGTCTGATGTATGTGAACCTACTCCCACAACAAACATTATATTACATATTTTATGCTAGTTATAAAACTATATTCCTGGTTACTGTCATTACAGACCAAAGAATTTAAGAACAAGTGTCTATATATTTGAAATGCCAGAATGCTGATATGAATTCCCCACTGGTCTTTAAGTACATATATATTTATTATTTGAGAACGGTTTTTAATATAAACCTTTGTGTTGACTATCAAATAAATCTCATGTCTTCTGTAGTATTTATTTCAACTTCCATGTACAAATATAAAATGTAAAACCAGAGGCTAAAGGTTAAATCAGACAAACACTGTGGCATGTTAAAAAAAAAGAGCCTAACGGCTGAATTAGCAGTTACCCAAGATTAAAGGATATAAATAATTCAGGCCTTCCTTCTGTTGCTTCTGAATTATGCAGTAATTTTCATTGTCTTTTAAAAATTGCAATATACAGCTATACTCACATATATATTCATGAATGATTGTGTAAGAGCAAAGAGTCATTTGTAAAGAAACTAATGACATTACTATTTGCATAAAACTGAAATTACAGGTGAATGCTAATGTGAACTATACAAAAAAGAAATATAACAAATACTTCTAAAATGTTACATAAAAATAAGTACTAATTAGTTACAAAGTAGCAATTAAAATTATGATTAAAACTTTATAACAATAAAAATGTTTTTATGTTAAGTGAGAAAACAGAACTGATCCAACAATAGAAAAAATTCCTAAGTGAAGAGAGACTAAGGGAACCAGCAAATGGAAATACCGGTGTCCAGATGACAGAATGATGGGCTGTCTGATTTTAAAATTCCTTGCATCATTAAAATACATTTAAACTTTTTAAAGAATTGAAAGAAAATAAAGACACCTCTAAAATTTACTTGCAAACAAGTACTGCAGGCCAAGGTACATGATATGTACAATACTAACAGATACTAAAGTTGTTAACTGGCTGCCTTTACTTCAAGGGCTTTCTGGACAGAGACTAGAAAACAGGCTTAAAAACAATAAAACTACCAGGCTTCTGTGGCTCATGTCCATGGCTCATGCCTATAACCCTAGCTACTTAGGAGGCTGAGATCTGAAGATCATGGTTCAAAGCCAGCCAGGACAGAAAAGTCCTTGAGACTCATCTCAGCAAAAAGCCAGAAATAGAGCTCTGGCTCAAGTAGTTGAATGCTAGCCTTGATAGAAAAAAAAAAGTCACTGGGTAGACCATTAAGAAGAGTTTTCAAATTAATACTTAAGGGGAAAGTAAGAAGAAATAGCAATACTACCAAAGCTGCTTGGAATAAAAGCCTGTAAAGGCATTTCTTCATGCAGCTGCCACCCAAATGACACCTAATCCCCAGGTCACGGCACTATTTCAAATCTAAAAGGCAATGTGAAATTCTGTCCACAATGAGATAATGCCACAACATAGGCAAGTGTAAAGGAACTAAAAACATAAATGCTGAAATGTGAGTAAGACAGAGGAAATGTCTGTCCTTTGCTTCTCTGAATCAGTCTACTTTTATTTACACCATCAGCATTTGCTGGTATCGTACTCACTTTGAAAAAAGAGAAAGCCCAAATTCCCACAGAGACAGAGTCAGCACTTCCTATGAATGCATTTGTTACTAAGGTACATGTGCATAGTGAAAGTAGCCAGAAATTACTGAAGGCAAGCAAATGTAAAAAACAACAATCTAATTCATTAGTAGGTTCTTACACATATCGATCATTTCCAATTTGGAAAAAGGGGTTCGATTCCAATGTCACAGCTGAGTAATCTCAAAGTATTTTGCAAACAAAAAAAAGCCCATGATTTTTTATTACTATTTTTTAAGTAGTTGTACAAAGTTTCAATTCAACATGTCAGTTTGTGAGTACAATGCCACTTGATCAATGTCAGACTTTCCATGATTGTTGATATACAGGAGGAACTAGGAAAAAATATAACTAGAAATATAAGTAGCATTAATGAAGTTAACATTTAAATATGGAGTAAAATAAGTGAATATTTAAAATACTGTAAGTAATTATTTGGCAGATTTGTTTTGAACCAATTTTCTTGCTTCTGTTAGAAGAGCTTAAGAGTTAACGGCTTAAGTCCACCTGGCTGGTCTTTCCTTTTGTCAGCTGACTTTCCTAGTACTTGTTACTTGCCCTTACCTAAATTTAAAACTAGAAAAATCACGATGAATGTGTGGCCTTGTGACTCAAAGCAAGTGTTAAATGAGAAAGAGCCGATACATTTTGTTAAGGACTAGGCAAAGATTCTAAACGACTGAACTCCATTTCAAGACTGTTTCCAACTCAACTGCAATTCCAAATCTCAACTATTCTATAGTTGTTACACACTGAACTGAGTTTTAAGGCAATAAATAAATCACAAAGAAAATTAACATGTTTATTGCTATAATTTCTTCCATAACAGGAATGTACATCTTATGAAGATAAAAGAGAAGTATGATATACTGTTTGGAACATATAGGAGACAGATTTACTAGTCTTTATGACACAGTATTCATTTATAGACCAGCAGATTATAAGTGATGTCATTACAATATACTTTTCAGGAATCTGAGGCAACATTTAAAAATATATGTATGTGTGTATGTTTTTATATATGCTTTTCCAAGTACTTGTCTTACTTCTTTCCCAAAAAGAAAAAATATTAGTTCATTATACATCTTATTTTACAAACTATTTACTTCAATATGTATTGCTAAGTATACTTTATAGTACAAATAAATTAGTTTAGCTCATCATTCCCTCACTCACAAAAGCAATAAATCATTGGTGTTTAAGGAAACAAAACACTGCCATTTGAACGCCAGCTCTATTTTCTTTGCAACATGTGACCTTGAGCAAGTTCTCTAACCTAGCCATAGCCCTGTTACCATGTTCTCTAATGACACATCAACAGTTTTGGGGTCAAGGGAAATAATACATGCCAAGAACTTGACATATGGCAGATATATGCCAGCTATTCACATTGTTGTTGTTTCTACAATATTTTGGAGGAAATGCTATGTGCCAAACATGAATCTAGGAGCACAATAAAAACTAGGGACCTGGGCACTGAGGGCTCACATCTATAATCCTAGCTACTTAGGAAGCTGAGATTTGCAGACCATGTTTTGAAGCCAGCCAGAGCAGAAAAGCCCATGAGACTATTATCTCCAACTAACCATCAAAAAGCCAGAAGTAGGGGTATGGCTCAAGAGGTAGAGTACCACTCTTGAGCAGAAGCCAAGAAAGAGTGTGAGTTCCTGAGTTCAAGTCCCAGTGTCAGCACATGTGCACACAAGCGCGCGCACAAGCGTGCACACACACACACACACACACACACACACACACACACACACACACACACACATACATACAGGCAGAGATCTGTCTTCTTGGGTTTCACTTTCTAATGAAGGAAGCAATAAGCAAATAAATCCACAAGAGAATGTCAGGGATAAATGCTACTATAACATAAAGCTACGTAAAAGATGTCATGAATAGGTCACCGTTTACTAGGGAACCTGGAGCTCCTCTCACATAGTTGCCCAAG